GGGCGGTTGTTCTTTGGTTTCCCGTAAACCCCGAGGACCGAGCAGGAACCATAGCCATCTCCCGCCAGGCAACTCAGACATGTTGGTCATGACTTCGGTGCAGGCGGGGCTCTGATCTGTGTGTGCCGCTGCATCGGTGCTGGTGAGCCCGGAAGCGGCGGCCAGTCTTGTTCTTCTACTCAGAACCCAAGAACGAAATTGTACAACACACATGTCCAAATCTGTAAACTATGAGCTACTTGAACCCCGTGACGCGCGGCGAATGCTGGATGCGAGCTTCTGGAAAGCATGCGAGTTGCGAGCCTTGGGGTTCGTTCGGTTGCCGGAAGGGGTCTCCTGGTCGTTTCCTGGTCTCTCAAGGGGTCCTGATTTTTCCTCTTTTGGAAAGGCTACAAGATCGCCTTCGGTCAATTTAAGTTGAACTCCCCTTGGGGTGATGTTAAGAGCGGGCATGCCAGTTTTTTTCCCCCTTGGCCAGGCGCCAGCAAGAAGGACGGTTGATTTTGGGAAGCCCAGAAATGCCGGACCCCTCCTGAGAACATGAGAAGTTGACTGCCCTTGCCGGCCTAGGGCGCGCTGGGCGCATGCCTGCCCAACCTCCCCAAGGATGCCAGCGAGGCATTGGCGGGCGAGGCCGGGCCGTTACCACCTGCACCGGTACCGTCCGGAAAGCGCTGAACCTCCACGTCAGCATGGCTGCAGACGTTCGTTCCTTCCAATTGGACGGAGAAGTCTTACTTATTTACTCGTTTGGCTGTGCTTCTCGCTGCCAGATGGCATTCTTTCACGTTAGGTTCCCAAAATGTTCAACCCCCCCAAAAGGGTTCCAGTTTCTACTCTGGGTTACTGAGAATTCTGCTGGGTACAGCCCTACAGCCACGGTCGATTGCTTTTTTTAAAGCTTTTGTTCACAGGCCATGCTGCACATGCGGCCGCCGGGGGCTCAAAGCGCTGCGTGAGAGGTTTGTTTGGAGCCTTGGGGATTGGTGGATGTTGTTGGAGAATGGATGACTCGGGTAAAATTGCCCTGAGATGTTGCGACTTGCATTGTTTTCTGGCTTGCCACGAGGCGAGCACAAGTCAATTCCGGCAAAGCATCAACTTGACTCGCAAACTGAACGTGACTTGGTGGATTCGCTATTGACTTCCAGCAGGGCCGATGAGCCTAGTTCGCCAAAGCGTCAGCTTACTTTTCCCTCGAATGGATGTGTTTAGTTGGATGCGGTGTGATACTCTAGCTGGAACAGGTGTAGGCTACCACGCCAGCGTGCAACAGATCTGAGCTGCTTGAACGGTTTGATAGTTTCCTCTTGGATTTCCCTTATACCGTACCCACAAAGGGTACCCTTCATTCTGAAGACGCCCAAATTCAAAGGACTAGCTTCAAGTTCCTTTTCGTGGGGCACACTTGCCAGGAGCGAGTCGACCCAGGCGGAGCCAAGGAGCCAGAGTGCTTTAGCTGGCTGGTTGTTGGGGATGGATCGCAAGTGAGAACAACTAGCAAATGTTGTCAAAATGTTTCCCACACACCAGCCAGTTAGTCTGTCATTTGTAAGATGGAACCCGCCCCAAAGGCCCCTCCCAGAATGGTCTTCCAGGGAACCTCATTTGTGGCCTGCCACATCCATGAAACTTGGAGTGGCACTAGCTGAGGGCGCCGTTTCCTGGGGATTGATTTCACCACCGGAGGTGTTGCAGGAGCATCAAGGAACACATTTGATTTTCTTGCAGAGCAGCATCGTCAACGCCATCCGTTCAACAAAACACAACACGCCAACTAGGTTCGGCTTCGCATTTGCCTTGGGCATAGGGGACCCCCCCAAAAAAAATATAAGGTACCCTTCTCGTTTTCCGTTAAAGCGGGTGCCCTCAAAATAAGCCCAGGTGATAGCCCCAGCAGCATGAGACATATCTGCGTCTACTTTCACGCCCAGATTGGGCTGACCCCAGGCGGGCGCGCGAGAGCGCGCAGGCGCGCGAGAGCGCGCAGGCGCGCGCGCGAGAGAGAGAGAGAGAGAGCAGGCGGGCGCGCACGCTCAGGCTCTCAAATTTGCTGTTGTTTGCAAGCTTCGGGCACTCCGACTATGCAAGCCGGAGTGCGCGTCCGCCCTGCGCGTGCACCTGCACGCAGCCAGGCGGGCGCGCTTGGGCGCTGAGGTTTCAATCGCCCCTTGCGTCCTGCAAACGTCCAAAAGCAAACCTTGGAAATATTTTATGCGCCCTTCTCGAAACCGCGCCCATCGTCCCAGAACTCACGGAACCTCGTAACCTCCCCGGAATCCTCAGAACCGCCCCAACACGCTCCTCGGGGCCGCGCCGTGCACCCGTGCGTCCCCGGAACCCGGACCACCCCGGCGCCTGTTTGAGAGCTTCTCCGAGCGCGCAGGACGAGCAGGCGCCTGCGAGAGGTGATAAACGACGCAGCTGATGGTGGCTACTCGGCTGAGATTCGGATGGTGACAGCATGGAAGTCATATCAAAAAATCTGTTGGGGTGGGGTTGGGGTGATGGTTTGGGAGAAGCTACTAAGCTGAGTCAACCATTGTGTAATTGGATATTTGTCACCAGGACATGGCCCCGTATGGTTGCCGTCCGTCTTTCTGTCTGCTCGTCCGTCCGTCCGTCAGTCGTTTTTCTCTTTTTCAATAGCGGCTCGTCACTGTGCTTGTGGAGAAACAGCTTGGGCAGACTGCTTGGCAGTGCCCCACCTTCATCTGGCCATGGGTCAAAATCCCGTACTCCCAGTGCACATCACAATCCCCACTAAAATAGACCAAAATGGGTGGTGCACCTACCCCAAAATGGTACCATTGGTTTTGACCCACACAGAGACCCATCTGGTTTCATCTTTGCTATGTGTCCTCTTGCGGTGAAATTGAGCCAGGGGCGCAAGCGCGCTGCACGGCAGCTTCTGACGTCACACCATTGACTTGCTTCCCCATTTGATGGCAAGCGGTTCCTTTGAAGCCCAGTCGCGCCGGCTTGCCAGGCCCAGCTTTGACCCTCGCGTTGCTGGCGCTTGCCCTGCTGCCGCTGGTGACACTGGCTCTGAGGCGGTGCGGCGAAGCTCCTCTATTCCTCTAAGGATCAGGGAGGGTGAGAGGGTAATGAGTGAATCCTCAGGACGGCATTGCTCTGCCGCCATGACAATTTCAACTATTTCTTATGTGAGTGGGCGAGCGAATCATCTGCGACGCGTTGCTACTTGCATCAGCTTCTTTACATTAAATGATGGCAACGGCTACACGACATTCTGTGAATGGTTTTTCCATGGGCCTTTCCAAGGCTTGCTTGGTGTGGTCGTTACTCGTGATGCTGACGAGTGGTATTTGGTAGCAGAGCCGCTACTTTGTACTCCGTTGCATGTTCGGCCCACGGCCAGTCATGTGCCCTCCAAGCATCATGAAGTCACCCTGAAAGCATCAAAGCGCGATTACCTGGGTTGTTCAAACACAATCCTTGCTCCATATGCCAGATGCTGGCGGTTGTAGGGCTGACTATGGCTGATTGCAAAGAAGGGGCTCTCTTGGAGCCCCAAGATGAGGGATGCTTCTTTCAAGTCGCAGTAATCGTGTCCCCCCAATAATAAACAGTCCCCAGTAATTTAAACAAACTCGGAGGGTTTTACTAATAGGGTCCCCCGGTTTGTGGCCAGAACTGTTTCAGATAGGTTCCAATTGGAAAAGAGGGACCCGTTTGATTTGCAGAGAACATGCTCAGAATGAAGCTTTTAAGTCAGAACTTTTAAAGGCAAGGGACCGGTTCGATTTGCAAAAACAACAGTGTTCAGTTCAGAATGCAGCTTTTAAGGAGTAACTTTCAAAGGCAAGGGATCCCTTTGATTTTGCCAGCTGGAGACCCTGACAATATTAGCCGCTTTTTCCTACTGGAGACCTAATGATAAAAGCCGTTCATGTCTGTGATCAGATAAGTAGGATATATCCTGAACTTTTTCAACATCCGTGGGTCCATGACCTGAGTTCATCTGGTTTCCAGAGTGTTGAGCATTGGTTTAGAATTGGGCAATTTAAGGTGGGTATTGGCGATTTTTGGGGTCGGCTGGGGTGCTTTTATAATGGGAGTCCGTTTAAACACGGGAAGAGCTGCCAATCAAATCGTTTGCCCGCAGCTGTCTTTTCAACGCGGACATGTCTTTAACAGCACAGGGCCCCCAGGTGGTTGGGGGGTAGTGGAAACACGTATCGCTGAATGTCACGCAGAAGTATCGTTTTCCAGGCGGAAGGCTGCCGAGCTGCTTTGAGCCAAGGGAGTGAGCGGATGGGCTGTTGTCGTAGTTTTGTGTATTCATGATCCATTGTCAGCATCCGAACACAGGACGTCTTTACTTATTGGCACTGTTTGCAGATACAGTGGAAATCCTGGGGTGGGGTTGATCAATGACTAGGTATTGGTAACATGACGCTCTGACCATCCCTGTAAATGACAGCACGGCAATGTGGAGTGAGATTTGCTTTGCCTCTGACTGATCATGTGGAGAAAGCATTTGTGAAGTTGTCTCGTAGCGTTGGATTCTCTTCAAGCATGCTTGGAGTTTTATGCTGACAACCCGCGCGACTTGTGTCAGATTCCACCCGGGTCATTGGCACTTGCGCTGGCTCGAAGCCTGACTCGCTCACATCGATTGGCGATTGCCTCGCTTTGGAAAAGGATGCCGTGTCCGATTGTGGCTCCCTTGGAGCCTCGCCGCTTCTGTCAGTGTTGTCATGGACTTCCCAACATGGGAGGAGTGTATGAAGGTGGGGCAGAGACCTGTGTGGCTGTTGAAATGGCGCGGGTCAGCCCCTATCAGTGGAGACCATTCAGGCATGTTAAAGAAAAGGGCGCTAGAGACATCCACCATTTTCGTGGAGTGTTAACCTCCCTTCTACACGACTTTTTCTTTCCAGTTGGTTTTTCCAGTCTCAAGTTCATTCAAGCTTTTTAAACACACAAATCATTTGGCTAAGGGCTGTTTAGCACCCAGCCTTTCGGCTCTGCAGGCAGGGCTGTATCATGGTGGACCACCTCCTAGACACCGAGGAGCTCGAGGCCTTGAGGCAACACATCCAGGAGAGGATCTCTTTCGCTTTTTTTTTTCTTCCTCTTCTTCTTCTTTTTCCGGCTGGCTCGGGAAACGGGACACCAACGCGAGAAAGCCCCGCCATGTTGGGGGATGTTTTCCTATTTTCAGGTCTACGTGTGCGAACGCTTTCTGGGACTTCTAAAAAGTGTGTACTGGTGCCTTCGCTCTCCAGAAGCCACAAATGGGCCCGTCGCGGCGTGCTTTGAATTCCATTTCAGTCACCTGAAAAACGGGTGAAGGCTCAAATTTGTGTTCACTTGGCCCTTAAATGAGGGGCTGGCAAGGATAGCCGTAGGCAAGGATTCGTATCATGGGAGCCAGGGTCATGGCCCACAAGGATTTGACCATGGCACCAGGTGAAGGGGTCCCTGTGTCTTTGGTCCAGCACACACCAACCGGATTTTCCAATCAAGCTGGATGCCTGCATAGTGCGCTTCCAACTCTGGGGAAGCCAACAGCCATACCCGCGTGTCCTGAAGAGTCAAGCCTGATGCCAAGCTGTCCCTTGGAGAAGCCTGAGTTTCTTGTTCCCTCTTTTCAATTCAACATCTGACAGGAGTCCACGCCAAGCTCGCACATGCAGCTTTTTCGAAAACCTGTCTCCTCTGATGTTCAACCCGCGTTAGACAGTTGTTCAGGGAATCAGGTTGCAGTTTGATACGGGTCTGTGTCAACAAGGCCTCGGTTTTTTCTTCTGGTTTCCTCTTCCAACGCAAGCACCAGACATATTCTCAGGGGTCACGGCTTACCACCCACGGGGGCTGGGGGAGGGCCGGCCAAATTTCGGCAGCCCCACGCCAAAGCCGTCTCTGAATGGAATCCGCCGACCAGAAGGGATCGGTATGCGGCTTGAAGGTGTTCCAGCCCACCCCAAGCCCCGCTCGGCCAGCCTTGCCTCTGCGTGCAAGACAGCCAAAGCGAAGAATGCAGCGCCTTTGCAAGCAAACCCACTTCAAGAAACTGATCCGCGAGACGCGGTTGCGCGCACAGAAAGCAGCTTATGCGGGCCTCCCCACCAAGGGGCAAATGTGACACCGCCCTTTGGCCACTTGGCTGCGGCCTGGCTTCCGCCTGCTGCCGACGATCCATGCGGGTGCGTGGGTCGTAATTTGTGTCAAGCGCAGGCGTGTCGGCAATTTGATTCTTGGCTTGCCCGTCCTGATTTGGCAGGAAAGTAGGATGCACAGGACGGGCTGTGCATTTGTGCTGGTTTGCCAGGGGGTAGGGTGGGCTGGCGGTCCCAAACTGGCCCTGGGTTCCAGGGCCGGTCAGGACTGGTTCTAGCACCGGTACTGGTGCCAGATTCCACGTTTTAGGCGGTGCAAGCAAAAGGCCCCATCAAGTTGCACACCACGCCGCTCCCCTTTTGAAGTCGGGAATAGGCGGAATTGATCCATTTTAAGAGACCTTGTTTTTTAAGGGCCGTTTCAGGGGCCAAATTCTATGAACAAGGTTCTGGCAAGGGAGAGGTTTGCGAGGAAAATAGGAAGAACACAACGCAATGGGGTTGATAGCGTGTCGATGATTTTCTGCCAGAGGTTTGTTGGCAAGGAGGGAGATCACCCTCGGGGCCACGAGCTGAGAGTGCGGGACCTGGCGCACCGATCCCCAGGCGCGGATTCCCCCACCACCTCACCACCCCCCCCGGCCCAAGTCTCCAGGAGGTGGTTTCCTCTTTGCTTCCCTCGTAAACAAAACCCCAGAAGTCTTTGGTTCCCTCAAAGATGTGCTTGGGCGGAATGTCTTGCCGCGCAGCTGCGATGGGTTGCATGTTTTGGTAGTGTGATAGCGATGTCCACCACAGGCAACGTGGGCGGTGTCCTTTTGACACTGGTAAACAGAACCCCACAAGGGGCATTCGCCATGCCTCACTGGCATGCCTTGGCCAGGCCTGGCAAGCCTTGCGGCCCACCCGCTGGTCATGCAGCTGGCAAGGCCAAATCGGATAGCTGTTCCAGTAGGCGAGTCTGACATGGCAAGTCCAAGCTCGGATTTCAGAAGCAATTCGTTGCACTGAGGGCAAGAGCAGCGTTGAGTGTCTGGTAGATGCTTCTCAAATGCATTCGCAGGGTGAAACACGGTTTGGGGGGATGTGATACGGATCGGCCTGAAGCCTCATTTGCGGCGCTGGTGTCTCCATGTTTATCACGCTGCAACCTGGACGCCGGTATTGCCGCGACTGGCGACTGTTTTCTGGGGTTGCAGCGTGTCATTTCGCCAACAAAGAAGACCCCTGCCCATGGAAGTTCGCAATTTTCGCTATAGTCATGTAGTGTCATACAGTTCCCTATAAATTATATTTTTGTGTTTTAAACATCACCTTTCGGACGTAAAGCACCGTGTTTGGGAAAACAAGGAGCCCTGCGGTATGATGAACGTGGTGTTAGTCTTTGACTTTTGGACGATTCTTGCTTAGATCACTGACCACTTGCTATGGACATACATTCCGCAGGGCTCCTTAAAAGATACATTTTGCCCATTTGAAACATTGCTTTTTCCACCAAAATAAAGGACACCACCATTTACAAGGCAATGTTCAGGTGAAACATGGATGGATCCCTGTTCCGCTTTGCCTCCCCTTGGCCACTGGAAGCACAAATACATGGTTCGCAGCATCCGCCCACGATGTTCACCTGGCAACTAGCTAAACCCATGCTGATCCCGTCACCAAGAATCTCCCCACTTTCAAGATCAAGATATGGCTGTGGTTCAACACCAATGGTACCATTTTGGGGTAGGTGAATTGACCACCCATTTTAGAGCCTATTTGAGTGGCTGGATTGGGTCCCGTTCACTGGGGGTACGGAATTTTTCGGGTTTTGACTCCGCCATATCCCCCAAGAGCCATTCGTAGGCGGCTGCTTTCCCCGAGCCTCCAGCTCTCTGAGATGGAGAGCTGTCTGGGACTCGGATTGGTTGGCGATGCGACGCCAGCAAGGCATCGAGCGAAAACAAAAGGGTTCCAGGCAGAGAAAAGTGTTCCTCTCAATCGCTGAGTTCCACTGCGAAACAACTGTTTTGGCTACCATTCTAGTGGTGAATACACAATTTAGACTTTGTTTGGCCTGTCCACTCGAGAACTGAGATTTTGAATGATTTTGATTGACGGCCCACAAAAAGTCCCAACCTGTCGGACGGCTACGGAAGCGGACAATCTGAAGGTTTGTGCGCGTGGAAGTTCTCGGAATAGGAAAGCTCTAATGTGGACGCAACTTGACTCAAGTTTGGGCTCGGGCAAACGACCACGTTGCCTCCCCCCATTAGAAAACCGGCGCAATGGCATTGAAGCTGATGGTGAAGATTTCTTTGTGGATATGGCAGATGAGCAACTCAGCTTAAGTGGGTGTCCCCTTGTTCCATGCATCATGTTTGTGCTTCATAACCGAGAAGCAAGCCCGCCAGCAACAAAATAGGCAGGCGACATGACGGGACACCGCGGCGTTGGAACCGTCTTTGAACTTCTGGATTTTGTGAAGTGTCCCAGTGCCAGGTTCGGCCGGGTTCCATCGCGCTGGGTCCCCTCCTTCCACATATAATTTGTCCGTTTCGTTACTGAGACGCAAGCTTGCCAGCAGCGAAAGAGTCAGGCGACATGACGGGACACCACAGCTTCAGCTGGAGCTTGTGACGTCTCCCAGTCTGTTGCTCCCACCCACAAGTGAGCAGCGCCCAAAACCTCCATTGGCCATTTTAGTGGATGGTTCTAACACGTGTTTCTTCCAATAAGGCAGATGAGGAAATCGCGCTGCTCAAGTGGGTGTTCCCTCCTTCCACATATCATTTATCCGTTTCAGATCCGGAAGCATAACCGGGCAGCAAGCCCGCGGCGAGCCACCAAAGCAGTGGACATGTCTGGTTGCGCCAGCTCCGCTGGCTCCGCACTGAGGCCGCACAGACGTGGACTTTGTGCGAAAGGAGTTGGAGGCCGGTGACACGCGCTTGTGGCATGCATGCTGGAGCCAAAGCACCGAGCGAAAGTTCGGGGATTCCTTCTGTCAGGGTTGTGAATTATAAGATTACAGTAGTTTGCAGAGTGCCAGGGTATTGAGCAATCTTACGAACCGAAATGTTTGCTTCGGTAGCTTCTGGGGTTCTTCATGCAGGCTTAAGGTGCAAGATCCTTGAACAGCCTTTATCTGATGGGAATCATTTTTTGAAACTAGGGAACTCTCTTTGAGGTGGTTGGAAGGATAGCGACAGGAAACCATTGTCTCCTATTTCAGGACACCCCCTTGTAGCATCATGTTCTGCGGTCTGCCTTTGAGGTTGCCTTTGCCAGGATGGCGTTCATTGTATTGGGGTTAGCCGAATTCGGAAGCCAAAGGCAGCAAAGGCTGCGGTCATAGGCAAGGAATGTAGGTGGAACCCGCACGGACGAAATGGAGCTGATGGAATTTATGGCCTGTGCAGTAGCATTCCCTTGACCAATGGTAACAGGTGCTCCGGATTCCGCATTGCATCCGATAAAAGGGATAGGTTAGAAGCATAATTACCTATCTCATGTGGTTTCACCATTGTTGTGGCTGAGAGCGGTGGGTCAATTGAGACTTGGATTGCCTTTGCATGAAATGTGGTAGTGACCGGAGAGAGTCGGCTCACGGGGCTTCAGCCTTGTGGAATCAGTCAACGCGAGTTCAGGAACCTGGACCCACCTGCAGTTTCGGCCGGCTCGCGAGGAGACTACGTGGCATGTGGTGCATCCCTACTCTGGAGCCGAGTTTCCGGGAGTTGTACGCCTCAGCTCGCTTTCGGTGGGAGTTGGGGAGATGAATGCTCAACCCACCTCCCAGTTCGGTGGCACCCTGTTTCCCTTAGGTCCAGTGAGCATTCTCACCAAGAATACCCTTGTCACTGTAAGTGGGGTTGTAGCCACAGGGCACGGACCCCAGTTGCCCACAAAAAAGAAAAACACACAATTTTCTACACTCCTGAAAACATGGGCTCAGCCTCGGGTATACCAAGCATAGGGTCATGGAGGCTACGTGTTGAACATCTGCTCCGCGACCAAACCTCTCTGGTCCCTCGATTCCTTAAAGAAGATTTGGCTGTGAGTTTTCATAAATCCCTGCAGGCAGTTGTGGACAGAAATCCCTGGAGTCATCCCAAATTCAAATTCATAGGAAGTGACAGTTTCGTTGGAACACGCCACTTTGCAACACTCGAAGAGGAGTTCTTGCAATGCTTCTTGGGTTTCGAAAACTGTTTTGGTCTTCTTTCTCTTGCGCCTAGCACCCTGAGCCCGAACCTCGCTGAAGATCGGACCGTTTTTGACTGGTGAGGAGTTGAGAAACCCAACGCTTGGATTGCCATGCGGTAAACAGTGGTGGGCTTCTGTGAAGTTAGAGGAGTTGCTTCATTAAGATCTCTTATGTCATTCAACTGGGGATACCCTCAAAACGTGGTTGGTGGGCATAAACCCGCATACAAACGATGTCAGCCAAAGAGTCCCCACTCGAACATCATAGCCAACTACAGCTGGGCCATAGCATGACATTGATAACTCACACTCCTGGCTCCTTACTCGCACGAAGAAATTGAAGAGAGCTGGCCGGGGGAGACTTCCTCTGGGTGGCTTCCTCTAGGCTTCCCTTCAAACCGAAACGGGGAGCACATCCACTTGCGGCAAGATTGCCAGTCGCTGCCAGGTGGACCCACGCATCAACATCACCGTGGCTTGGTCCAGAAGCAAAATGAATGCAGCTTCTTGCCGGTGACCTGTGGCCGCTATGTAGCCTTTAGGCTTCCTTACAGGGAGCCAACAGGGAGGCATTCCCTATTTCAAGACACGCCCAGTCGTGGACAGCACTCATCCAAATGTGTATTCCAAGATCGCTCGTGGCTCGTTCCCATGCGAAAGGTCACATGGTTCCTGGACAAGCTGGACAGCGACAATTCCACCTGGGCTTTTATCAAGGCAAGCGGACATAGTCAAAAGACCTGCTTGCTTGAGGTATATAAGGATAGTAATGGACCCTCGAATGGGTGTTTTGGACAAGTATCATAAGGGTTCTTTTAGAGTAGGCTATGGCCGTGTTCCACATAGTATGCTTTGACCATGATGCAATGGATGCTAGGTGGAACATGTTTCCTGTCTTATGCAACAAGAGTTACACACTCCACGCACGCAGGTGTTGGCCAGTAGAAGAGAGGTGCTTTTATTGGCTCGAAGAGACTTGCCAAATCACGAAGGGGTGCATTGGCAGTCAGAGCTCGTGAGTGTAGACCTAAACGCTTCGCGCTACCCAGCTCGGCCAGGGACTGTTTGATTTAGAGGCTTCCCTTGATCTTCCTTCTGTTCTTGCTCCAGGGCCAGGTGTGGGAAGCTGGGCGGCTGGCAAGCAACGGCGTTCATGCCTCCCATGCGCGCGAGTATCAGCTGCGTGAAAGTATCCGCTTGGCACTGAAGGACAGCCACCGCTGTAGTCGACCGCTTCCGAGGGGACTTGGACTCGAAACCTGGCACCCCTCCAGAGCTGGCTCACATGCCTCGATTGGACTTGGTTCGGCTTGACTTGCGCTTGTTTCTTGCTGGCCGATCCAATTGGTGATGCTTGGCCTCGTGGTTTCCTGCAAGCTCCGTGGGCCTCCGGGCCTGCCACCCGGGTGTTCGAAAGGGTGGCCCAAGGACCACGGCTACGCATGTGAGATGAGAACTGCAAGTATAGATTCATTTGAGCCAGGGCAGGCAACCGGATGAAGCGCGAAGTTGACGTGAAGCCCCCCCCCTTCCAGGATGAGTCTCAAATTGGTTTCCCTTTGCCTGTATTTTGGGTGATTCAAGCCTTGCTGTTCTGCTTAGCTTGGTTACAACCTACTATGCAGGCTGAACGCCCGAGAAGGACATGCATAGATTTCTTTTGGCTTCCCTTTCCAGCAGCCCTTTCTGGTGACTCAAGGGACATAAGACCGATCACAGGTCATAGATGTCCTTTGTAACGTAGGTCTTGCTTCCATCTAGATGGGCCCGAAACCAAACAAACCACACACTGGTCAGGTGCGGGTAACCAAGTTGCTTGCACTTTTGTTGCACACATCCCCGTGGAGTCCACATGAGTCAAATTCCCGGGCCCCTTGACCCGGAGGCGCCGGAGGCGGGGAAGCTGCCGCAGCTGCCGCAGCTCTCGGCGCCGGAGGAGCTGCAGGTGGGCAGCGGGCACGCGCCCCACTGATCTCGGGGACTCTTCACATCTGGGTATGGGAATCACCAGACCGGAGGATTTAGTCCATGTTTCCATTTACCAGGGTGCCATTTGGGGTACCTATTTTTGACCCACAGCCATGTTATGAAAGACACTTGTGGGGAAAACGACACAGTTCCAAGTCCTTGGAAATCAACGGAGGTGTTGTCCATCTAGTGAGAAAATAGAGCCCTGCAGCTTGGCTCCTGGGATATGGTACCCCGCCACAAAGGCGGGTTTCCTTCTGGTTTCGCTTTCAAAACCAAACCAAGGGGGTCCATTCGGAGAATATCAGCAAGGGTTCTTTGATGTTCCTTCCTCTTTGCCCACGTCAGGTAAGTAGGTTGCCATGGTTGCAACTGGTGGAACAGGGTTGGTTGACCTCAACAAGTTGTATTATTGATGGACGCCGCCAGTGAACTGCAACTTTCATGACCCGCCCAAAACCTTTGAGTGAGGTCTATGTATGCCAGAATCATCTTGAAGGCAAGGTCAGCGGTTTTGATGTGGTTGCCTGTACTCGGTGCTCTTGAACAGGGTTCTTCAATGGTGAAACTTGCAGAGCAAACGCGAGCATATGTAGATTGGTCATGACAAAACACCAGGGCATGTTGGTAGATGTGGGCGCCGCTTCAAATATGACTTGGGCCCCCCACTGTATCAGCGGTTTTCCGTTTGATTTCCCTTTAAGCCCGTCCAGAAGAAAAACACAGGCGCCCTTCCAACGACACTATGCCTTCAGAGCAACCTCGAAAGTTGCCGTTTGTTGACTCGGCAAACCAGTATAGACATGCCCCCTAAAGTGATTTCAGTTTCCCCCCGAAAGAAAGCAAGGGAACAACAGACGCCCTGCAAATTGCCATACATTCTGGTTGGTCTAATTGTATGGATGTACTCCCACTTCGCACCAAAGCATGGCCGGGAGAAGCCCCAGAGAAAAAGCGACCAGAGAAAAAAAGGAAAAAATCAAACGTCGAGGCGGTGGCGCAGAATGCCCAGCCGCTGCTGGCCAAAGCGGGCTCCGCCTGGCGGGGGCCCGAAAGCATCGCGGGAAAGGTACTCGAGTGGACCCCTGCGACTGATCAGCGGAAGTTCTTTTGGAGTCTAAGAAGGGGGTCTTCGAACTCTGAAAGCCTTATGCAGGTACACGGGGAAGCTTTTTGTAGAGGGTTGCCTTTTTTTTTTCAGGAACTCCACCATTGGGAGCCCTCTTGAAGACAACCCAGATCCTTCCCATGTTCTGAGCGTGTCCTCGGGCCCGCTGTCTTGCACGAACCATGCAGGGCCATGTGCAGCCCCAAGAAACGTGAAGCTGATAGACAGCAGCCCCGCATTGCATGAGGGTTGGATAGGCGTTTAGATGTTTTCATCTTGGAGTGATGTGACATCTTGAAAGGAGTCATTTTGCAAGCACGGCTTAGTATTGCGATCAGCTTAGGCCACTGGCTCATCTGCTCAGACGGGCTTGAGTGCTGGTGTGCTTAGGACCTTGCACATCTAGCAGGGTATGGCAGAACTGCTGCACGTGGTTCTTCACGCTTTCCAGCACAGTCTCTGGATGAGTTGGGACACGGATTCGCTCAATTTCTCCCACAACCGGCAACCTCACCTATTTTCCCATGTCCATGAGGGTAAGTAAAGGTTGTCCCACAGTGAGGGGACTCACTTTTCCCATAAAGGCATCTCGTAGCTCTGACCGTGCGCCGAGGATTTGCATTGGTCCATACTGGATGTCCAACAATGTGGGCGCCGCCTCCTTTTGGAAGGCGCTCGCACTCGCGCGGCTCCGCAGAATTTCCGTCTGTGAGGGATTCCACGTCCGTTGGGTTTGCCGATCGAGTGGTGTTTCAATTCTTGCAGGAGATGGGATGTTCCGGTTTTTGCCGGAGTCCTGTCTAAATCACACCAGCATTTGTTGGCTTCCCATTAAAAAATCCCGCCAGAATTCCTTGCTTCAGGTTGATTTATCAAGCTGGTAGCCGGGTCTTGACGCTTGGGCTGTGACGCAGAGTGTTCTCTGGCTGCCGCAGAGTGTTTGTTTTTTCTTTTGGGAGGGCAAGTTGGAACTAAATGTATCTTGCTGGCCCTGGTTGGGGCTTTCATTGGTTGGCAGGAAAACGAGAACGCCCGAACCAGGTCAGTTTCAGGAGGCAGGCAAGTTGTACGTGGTTAGGAGCCAAGGTAGAATAGTCCCACTCCCTGTCCTGGACTTTAAACTTTTTGGGAGGACCGCTTTAGTGGTAAATAACGAGTTTGGACTTTTGTGCAATCCAATCCACTCAGAAAGTGAGTAGTGGGACTAGTCAAAGGAAGTTTATCAAAGGAAGTTTAGAAGGAGCTTCCTTGTTCCGGCAACTAATTGAAAGCTAGCCCTCTGAGACGGGGGAAACCGCACTGGACAAGAAGGGCGCGCTTGTGGCGGGGGAAAATAAGTGCGGAAAAAAACAAAAAGCAAATCCCTCTCCGGGTTTCAGTGCTTTGGGTTGGCCAAACCAGCCTGGTCGGAGCATCCTCGGAGCGTGCTTGGAGCGCGTTCGGAGCGCAGTCAGCGCCGGGCCCACGCGCGCACTTTTCGCAACATTAGTTTGGCGTTTCAAGGCGCAGCGCTTTCGCAAGGTGAAGTGCGTAAAAATAGAGAGAGAGAGAGGAATAGATGGATAGACGGATGAACACACTAGATAGAAAGGTAGTTATAGATATACGGATAGGACAGATAGAGAGGTAAGATGAATAGACAAAGAGATTGTTAGATAACTAGATAGGTGGATACAGAAAATCGTGAGGCAGAGAGAGAGATGGACAGATAGCTACATAGATAGATAGATACATAGATAGATAGATAGACAAGCATATACATAGATAGATAGGTAGAGATAAGACAGACAGATCGGTAGATAGATAGATAGATACATAGATAGCAGATAGACCAACAGATAGGTAGAGAGATAGAGATATCGATACGTAAACAGAAAGGAATAAAGAAAGAAAGACAGCGCGAAAGAAAGAAAAGAAAGAAACAAAGAAATAAAAGAAAGAAATAAAGAAAGAAGGAACGCAAGAAAGAGATGCAATGAAATGAAATGAAATGAACTGAGATGAGATGAGATGAGATGACATGACATGACATGACATGACATGACATGAATGAAATGAATGAATGAATGAATGAATGAATGAATGAATGAATGAATGAATGAATGAATGAATGAATGAATGAATGAATGAATGAATGAATGAATGAATGAATGAATGAATGAATGAATGAATGAATGAATGAATGAATGAATGAATGAATGAATGAATGAATGAATGAATGAATGAATGAATGAATGAATGAATGAATGAATGAATGAATGAATGAATGAATGAATGAATGAATGAATGAATGAATGAATGAATGAATGAATGAATGAATGAATGAATGAATGAATGAATGAATGAATGAATGAATGAATGAATGAATGAATGAATGAATGAATGAATGAATGAATGAATGAATGAATGAATGAATGAATGAATGAATGAATGAATGAATGAATGAATGAATGAATGAATGAATGAATGAATGAATGAATGAATGAATGAATGAATGAATGAATGAATGAATGAATGAATGAATGAATGACATGAAATGACATGAAATGAACTAAAATGACATGAAGTGACATGAGCTGACATGAAATGAAATGAAATGACATGAAATGACATGACATGAGGTGAAATGAAAGAAATGACTGACTGAATGAATGAATGAATGAACGAATGAATGCACGAAATGAATGAATGAATGAATGAATGAATGAATGAATGAATGAATGAATGAATGAATGAATGAATGAATGAATGAATGAATGAATGAATGAAGGAAGGAAGGAAGGAAAGAATGAACGAATGAAAGAATGAATGAAAGAATGAATGAATGAATGAAATGAATGACTGACTGAATGAATGAATGAATGAATGAATGAATGAATGAATGAATGAATGAATGAATGAATGAACGAACGAACGAACGAACGAAATGAAATGAAATGAAATGAAATGAAATGAAATGAAATGAAATGAAATGAAATGAAATGAAATGAAATGAAATGAAATGAATGGAATGAATAAATGAATGAATGAATGAATGAATGAATGAAGGAATGAATGAATGAATGAATGAATGAATGAATGAATGAATGAATGAATGAATGAATGAATGAATGAATGAAGGAAGGAAGGAAGGAATGAATGAAGGAATGAAGGAATGAATGAATGAATGAATGAATGAATGAAATGAATGAATGAATGAATGAATGAATGAATGAATGAATGAATGAATGAATGAATGAACGAACGAACGAACGATCGAACGAAATGAAATGAAATGAAATGAAATGAAATGAAATGAAATGAAATGAAAGGAAAGCTAATGACAGGAAATGAAATGAAATGAAATGAAATGAAAGAATGAAAGAATGAAAGAATGAAAGAAAGAAAGAAAGAAAGAAAGAAAGAATGAATGAATGAATGAATGAATGAATGAATGAATGAATGCATGAATGCATGAATGCATGAATGAATGAATGAATGAATGAATGAATGAATGAAATGAAATGGCATGAAATGAACTAAAATGACATGAAGTGACATTATTTGACATGAAATGAAATGACATGAAATGACATAACATGAGATGAAGTGAAAGAAATGACTGACTGAATGAATGAATGAACGAATGAATGAATGAATGAATGAATGAATGAATGCACGACATCAATCATAAATACACAAATGAAAAGAAGAACGAGAGGCTTTCGGCTTGCACCCTGCTCTAACACAAGAACAGGACTTGGGTGATTGCCTAGCCGTATGGCAGTCCCTAGCGTGCGACAGACATGAGACGTTGGGGCGTCCAAACGTCTCGTTTGAAGCGAGTTTGTTCGCTTGACACTCAATTTTGGAGGTCATGCAAGTCCGAAGCTGGTGTGAAGACCGTATTACCCCTTGAATGTATCGTGGTCAGATGCGTGGCCCGGCTGCAACCGCTTCCGGTCAGGACTACGACGCGCAGACGCGGTACAAGCACCTCAGTGGCCAGAAGGCGATGGCTTCGACCTGGCGCATGAAGCGTGGCCACGTCCAGGGAGAGGGTAACGACCAGCAATGATGAAGCTCCTTACTGGGAGGTTGGGGTTGGGGGCTCGTGGATCTCCCAAAAAAGCGCTGGACTGGATCAAGCGGCCGACAACGCATTGCCCCCCTTCCAAGTTGACAGCGTTTGTGAGGCGATGCAAAGTCTTCTTCGCATGAGCTTTCGTGGGCTGTTGCTTGCTCTCCTGGACCAATGGCCAACAGTTGACCACAGCTAGCCTCGGAAGGAGCCGCGTCCTCTTTCAAATTCCCTGGATTGCGATACCTGACACCTTTCTCAGGCATTTCTCATGGGGGGTGTCCTACATGGGGTACCGCCTTTTGAATGGTGGTTCTGGGATGCGGGCCGATTTTTTTTTTAATTTTTTTTCCCCTTGTTGGTTTTAAAAGGAATTTATCACTGCTGGACATATTTTGATATATTTTTTCCAGGGGTCTACCAAACGGAAGGTTTGTGACCTCCCCGCGTCCAGGGCGAATTTTCGAGCCTCGAAAGCCAGGAGCAGACCTTCCGCGCCCTGACGGACGCGCAGCGTGGCGCGCCCGTGCGGGCCGGGGATCCTGGCCCGGGCTCTCTCAACCGGCCCGAGAGGTTGACGCTTCTTTGGCGCATTGTACTTCACTTCTTGCCAACTAGGTTGACGCTTCTTGACGCTTCTTTGACGCTTCTTTGGATCTTGCCAACTAGGTTGTCCGTATTAAACCACTAAAAGTTATTCACTTTTAGCAGGGGAGCAGGCTGCAACCGAGCTTTGTATTGCTGGCAACTTGCTGTAAAGGGAGTCAAGTGCCAAAATCCATGGCAACGAGGCAGGGTGGATTCACGCACCTATGTTTGGTTGGGGGTCTGAGCAGTGTGGCATTTTGCTGCATTGGCTTATCTCGCCCACTGTCCGTGCGTGACCCCTTTCTTGCCTTAGCCCAGTTTGTGGCGGCGGTCAGTACCATTGTTGGAGACCGCAATGGGAAGCGCCTGCGGGAAAGCACTGCCGTTCGAGGATGTCGCGCTGTCCTTCTGCCGGCCATTCATGGTTCGCGACTGTTGCGAGTGGCGGGCGACTAGGCAGCGGCGCTTGAACTCCAAGTGGGGCGAAGCCGTTTGCGCAGCCTCCAGCGGCTCCGCGTTTCTCATCTAGCGCAGCAGCTTTCGCTCACTCACCCGCGCGCTCGCTTGCTCGCTCAGTGGTTGGGGCGGCGCCCGAGTCTTCCCAAACTGGCGGCTTGAAAGCGGGGGCCCAAAAGGTAGCTGGTTGGCCGTTCCAGGCTGCGTGGAGTAAGGGATGCGCGTTTCATCGCGGCAAGCTAGGTGAGAAGTGGCCTTGTTTTGGAGCCGGTGCCGCTTTGCCCGCCTTTCTTGCAGAGCAGCGCATCTTGACACCTTGTTTGGTTTTAACAGTTCACGGCAAACATGTACAGTCTGGGGAGTCTCGCGCCACTAAGTGTTTTTGAGCACATCCGTTGCTGTGCAGCCATGCCTGCTTTGAGTGTACCGGCCTTAAATTACGGCATCGTTGGGTAGGGCGTGTGTTTGTCATTGTTCTGGGCCTGTGCGAGCAGCCGCGTTCACATCATGATGCGGCAGGTTTTTTGGCTTTGTGAGCCCTACTTGCCAGACTCTGTGCAAGCAGAAGCTTAGACAAGTGCTTGAACGTTGCGTGCCGGGTCATGTTGGTTGAAGGCTTTTGGTTCTAGACTTGGCAAACAGGGCGCCGCTTGTCAAGAGCACTTGTGAATTTAGTTTGTGCGACGATCCTGCAAGAGTGCAGAGGGTTCCGCATCCTTGCAAGCCCGCTTCATTGGCAAAGAAATGTTACAGTGGGTTTGGCAGTTTAACCATGAGTTCGCATATGCAGGCTTGTGGATGACTCTAGGTCAGCTAAGAATTTGTTGTGAAGCTTGCTGCCGAAGGATATGTTGTGTCGTACGGCTGAGAACCGGAGTTGTCCATCATCCCTCACCCACTCCGCTTGACGGGCTGGTGCGAAGGGCTTCAGGGTGGCGCAAGATAGAAATCGCAAGTCCTTCTGTGCGACCCCTTCTAGAAGGGATACCAAAAGGACCCCTACATTTTGACAACCCACAAGTAGGGGAAGTGGGTGGCTGCATGGCCAACCAAGGAAGAGCTCTGCCCCACTGTGCTGCAGGCGAGAATGGATGGCGGGTATTCATGGTGTGCGCAAACGACCCACGAATGTGGTCCTTGTATGGGAGATCGGGCATCCGTGCTCATCAAGTTGTTGGACCTTGCGTTCACTCTCGCGCGTTTTCACCCAACCAGCGGAACCAGGCTCTTGCCGCTGGTTCGTGTGTTTCCGCTTCCTTCATTGCAAGTCCGTGATTGGCTTGGCTGCAGCATTGGCGTCCAGGCGAAGGTCCCATGCCAAATTCCAGTCCGCCAACAAGGCTCACAGCCCACAGCCTGTTCTCCCTTAAGAGGGGTTCCTGCGTTGAGCATGAAGACTCTGGCATGTAAAGGGGCTGAAGCCCAGAATCTGTTGCCTTTGCTAGCAAAAGGTCCGTTAGACACCTCTTGAACATGTTTGCAGGGGATAGTCCCAACCCGAACCTATCTTGTCCTGGTAGAGGCGTTCTTGACTGGCCTCAACTGGGTTTGTTCTTTTTGAGGGCCCCCCTTATTTGAATGCATGGAAACCAAAAGGAAGCCAGTCACCAAGAGGTGGATTTCCCCCCGAGTTCAATTTGACAAGACCTTCCCCACATTTGTTCTGAGCTCTCCGAGTTTCCCGGCCCCGAGAGGGGGGTCCCACCCCTCAGGCCACCTATGTCCGGGAGCACGTGGCCACCCTCTGCAGAGCTCCACCGTTCGAGGCTGCGTGACGTGGCTGGCTTGATGCCTTTGCCAAACCTCAAGATGCGTCAACGTTTGCCCAAACGCAAGGGGATTCTGCTGGAAGCGCCCACCCCCTGGCCGGTTTCATTGAAGCGCATGGCTTTGTGTGGATCCGCTTTCTGTGACCTTCCAAGCCAAGTCAGTCAATGGGCTGGGGGGGGGGGCATCTGGACAGGTGCTGGAAGCGCTGGGGGAGCCGGGCAGGCGGGCGGCTTGGCGGGTCATTGATTTTTGCCCCGGGGATGGCTCGGGTACTTGCCTCGCAGCTTATTTACAGGTTTGCCATCGGGCGTTTGCCGCTCTGTTGGCTCTCGCCAACAGACGTTGGTTTTCTCACGTGGTCTACAGCCCAACGCATGGCATCGAATTGCTGAGCAGTCTTGCAGGTGCTTCGGAAGAACACAAGGACTTGAACCCGGTGCTTTATTTCCCAAGAGAGTGCGTTTCCGAGTTGGGTCACACTTAAAGCCTGAGGGTTTGACGGAACCCTATCCCTTCACTGTCAGGCACCTGGCGGAACTGATGCGGCCATGAGTTCAGGACTCAGAGTTCGCTTCGGAGGTATCCGGTTTTTTGTCTATGCGTTTTTGAGGTTGGTTTTTCAGAACCGGAAGGAAGCCCTGCCATTTGTTCTGAATCCGGTTTTGAGACAGGTGCCCATGGTGCTTTTTGTGTTTTAGTTTTGGGGGGGACCCGCAAATCGGATTTTAATAAGCGCGTCCTAGAAAGACTTGAACCGTTTGTTAAGACGCATTTGTCACCCATTTTGGGGCACCAACATGAAACCTTTGTCATTTCCGAGGCTGCCAATACGGAGCCAGGACAATGCAAGGAAACCAGAGATGGATGGACCCCCAATTGTCCCACAGCAATGCGTGGACCTTCAAGGCAGAGAGCCATCCGTTCCTAGCAGCATGGTGCTGCAAGTTGCCTCATGGCGTGCTAGGAAGATTACAACGGGCGCAATTTTACGTCGATGGACGTTGAGGAGGGCTTTAGACCGCATTGAACGTCCCACCAAGTGCTCAAGGGATTGATTCGGAGGGCTTTGGACAGCCGTGCCTGGACCTTCTGCTTGTCAGCCGAATTGGTCCGTTTGAACGATGGTTTTAGAAGGAGGTCTGTAGGAGAGCGGAATGTGCAGAGGCAATCCATTACCCCTTGTAACAAATACCAGAGCCCCCAGATGGACCTGTTCGCCTGGGGGACGGACAATATGTAGGGTACCAGGGGGCTTCTTCTAAAAATTGGCTCTCCGCTTTCCGGGCACAAACATCTTTCCAAATGGCAATGTCCGAGTAAGATGCTTAAACAGCAGAAATCAAAGCCGTTTTCGGTTTTTGCTGGTTTCGACATGGTTTCAAGTTGGTTTAGTGTATTGGTTTGGAAACAAAAATATTTGTTAATAGGGTGTATCATATGAACAGGGACACCGGATTCTTCGCGGTTAGGACTTGTTGAGGTCGGGACTGGGGTGCGTGCAGGTTAGTCATTTTAGGGATGATTGGCCGAGACAAGGATGGACACGCACACACACACACAAGCAAGCCCACCTGATGTGCCGGCGCTGAAGCGCCCGAGGCGCGGGCGGAAAGAATCTCACCGAGCGGCGCAAGATGCGCGGCTTCAGGATCGGCTTCGCGCGGGGGGAATTGGACTCAAGGATCCAAAGACTTGGACAGCGGCGTCTCCGCTTTTGGTCCACATGCACATGTTCTTTTTGGCAGTCATTGACAGGGCAAACGCCATTTACTGGTGATCCTTTTGTGAGTTTGGGGACATCGGGAGCCAACAGAAACTTCTACATGTATATAGCTGAAACACTCATTGTTGTCCTCGCACATGGCCGTGAGATCGTCTCAATCCAGCGACAGACACTGCGAACGGCAGCGTCTCTGCGCAGCTTGGATCCTGAAAGACCCCACACGTTTGGCTTCAAGCGGGAAGCCATTGAGCCGGAGGCTTGGGGTCAAAATGTTCGGACCAGAACTGTGTCCTGATTTGAGGGTGGCAGTAAATGCCCATTGCCATTGAAAAGGCGCAGCTAGCTTCATATCATCAGGAAGGTCGATCTTTTTGACCAACGGGTTTTTCTGTGCATCCCGCAGCACATTCCGACAAGGGGTCAAGATGACATACAAACACATCCGCGATTTTGTTTGGGGCTCCGGACGGGCCTCACTAAGTTTCAACCAAACCAGAGGAGCTCACAAATATCCCACTGCGAAGCCCATGTTTTGACATTTGGTTCACGCGCGCAACTCCGACCTATGCCAGCCTGATTCGAGCCTTTGGCAGGTAAGGGTGGTGGCAGGGATCCAGCGCGGCGATTCGTCTCACGCTTGGGTGGAATTGAGGGCCAAAATGGATCCTGTGCTGCGCGATCGATCGTGGGATTTGGCTTGAATGTGCCCTCCGATAGGCTTTGGAGCATGAACCAAAGCAGGCTGGTTGTCACAGCGCGAATGGAAGGAGGTTAAGCTGTCGTTAGGATGGGCTATGATCCGGAACAGCTTGGATAGCATTCGGCTTCCAAGGCCACAGCATCCATGTTCCAAGGAGTGTTGCCGTTCGCCCCTGTGCCGTTCACAGTGTCATGTTGGGTCAAAGAACCGGTGATGTTCGCCCTTGCGCAGTTCTTCCGATCCCAAACCGTTTTTTTCCCCCAGAAGCTTGAGGTGAGGGAGCGGTTCGGAAAGCCTTCCTGGAGGGCACCAGTTGTCAAGCCGTACTCGAATTGCCCTCTCCGTTTGGACGATAAGCGTGGAGAGGTCGGGTCGCAGATGGGCGACTCTCCATTCCATTTGCCAGGGCCATCTATGTTTCCACAAGATCAATGTGCTTGAAGTTCAACCTTGAGAAGGCTTTTACTGTTGTCAAGCTAAAGGGGCGTGACAGTTGCGCTTGTCAATTCCACCCACTGGCCGGATAGGGTCTTTGAAAACACTTGAGAAGCCTACGTTTTTGTCTGACTGAAGGGCGGTAAGCATGAACATGTGGCAGCCGCGCGTTTTGAACATGTGGAACTCAGGAGGACAAGAGTTCACGCCTCTTGTCTTGGTAGAGCCGCGTGGATCACCAGATCACCCGGAGGTCAAATTTCCCACTCCGCTTTGCGTGGCAGGGTAGTCATCTATCACCCGCTTTTAAGCTTGAGATACTTGCAAGGCTTTCGAGTGTGGAAACTCGACACCGCGCGAAGGACGCCGCAACTTGCAGGATGCCAGGGGGACGGGGTTGTGTTCCTACGGAGGCCAACGAGGCGCAACTTTCCACATGTTCATTTCGGATGTGCATAAGTAGGACCGTAGATCGATCAACCGGTTGATGTGTGAAAGGAGAACTGCTGGGATCAGGCACTGCCACTTGCCCCCGCAAGAGGCAAAGAATCTCCTTATGCCAAATGGTACTGCAGTGGTTTTCCTTATTGTGGGGTACTGATCAGAGACCCATTTGGAACCCAGTAAACCGACTCTGGCCCTAAACCCAACCTAAGCCAACCCTTTCCAAACCCAATCCTAGCTCCGCGAACTGGATCCGGTCCGCATCGCCATGTGGCTCAGGCCCATGGCCTTTGATTTCCAGAGCTTGCCAGGCAACGCCCAGAACTCGACGTGTGTGGATGTGTTACATTTGCTTGAAAAGGACACCAAAAGGAGATTCATCAAGTCTTTGACCTGTCCTTTCGTGGGTTTAGAACGCAAAGGCAAGTGCAAGACATTCCACACAAGACACACCGGAGGAGCCAGCCGTCCGCCGGCTCACGCCACGGAATAATGGCGAAGAGTCGAGTTTTCAGCTGAGTCGCCACTGACGGGGGGGACCTTCACAAGTTGGTTCCCGCGTGCTGCGGCCGGCCCGGAACCCCCCAGCGGCCCCATCAACCCGAGCCGGGCGAAGCTTCGCACCGGTGTGCGGTGTTCGAGAAGGCGCCATGGCGTTGGCCCTGGCCCAGCCCAAGGCGTCGACTTCCAAGGCAGGGGTTGAGATTTCAGAATGCCACCCCACCTTCCCCCACCCACCCCCAGCCACCCTCAGCCATGATAGGTCTGCAAGTTGTTTCGAAAGTTAGTAGACACCCCACCCACCCCTCTCATGGTAGCGCTGATGAGGCTGGCGCAGGCATGCAGGTGCCCACCCCCCTCCCATAATGACGGTGAGCAGGTTTGTGTAGCACCCCACCCCCTGTTGCTGGCGTGTGCAGCTGCAGATTTGCAGGTTCTTTCGAGCCTCAGCAGCCCCCTCACCCCCCGCCCCCAACCCGATGCCCTGTGCTTGTGGCAAGCTCCTGCTAGTGCTGCAGCGCAAAGCCCGCGAAACTGAACGTTTTCAATACTACGAGCACTCCTTCGGCCAAGTTGAGGAACTTGCGGATTGGATTGGACAACAACTTCCGTGTTGGGTCGCAGCTGTCTTCTTGCGACAGCATGAGACAGTCCGCAACTTTGGAGTTGTTGCAAACTGTGGCCAACGGCTAGAGCTTGCGAGAGATCCCTGCTCTCGGCGCTGCTTTTTTTGTTCTGAGCCAGGCTTTTTGCACAGCGCCGCCTTGTTGGGGGTGGCCCGACATGTGCTCAACTCGAGTTGCTCGCAAGCGCATAGGCTCTTCTTCGGATTTGTTCCCTGTTTCGGAGAACAGCCTTCAATAGGATAAATTTAATACCGCATACAGCCCTCCAGTGCTTTTGCTGAACTTGCGCTTAGATCTTTGCGCACGCGGAGCGTTTCGGCGGCCAAAGCCGGGACTCTGGTTTCATCCCAAGAGGTGTCATATTTCTGGCCTGGGCGGGCTTGCTTGGATTCCCTGTCACCATGGTGCCAGTGAGCTGTCCCTCTTTGTTGTACTTCCGAAATGCGCTTCCCATGCCGGTTCCTACCTGAGCGTTTATTGCGCTTTCTGTTCTTGGCGTGAGAGCTGACCGGGTTGCATTTTCCCGGGCACGTTGCAGTTTTATGCCCAGCTGCTGGTTCGACCCAAAAATCTGCTACTAGCCTGTTTTGCGTACCTATAAGCGAACATTGCAAATGCCGGTGATCTTCAAATTATCAGCATGTCTTCACGAAGCTCAGCAAAGAAAGTGAAAATTGTCAATGTGCTCGCGGTTTCCTGGCGAATTTCCGTTGCTTCCCTCACAGCACGGGTTTCCGTTGGCGGAGGTGAAGAAGGCGCCCAACAAGATGGACAGCAAGAAGGCGGGTCTGGGGTTTGTCAGGCCCTGTTGTTGTGGGTTTAAAGGGAAAATTGAAGCAGGAAAACCGCTCATTGAGAGGAGGCAGCATTTCGGACCCCAGGCTTTGACGCTTTTCTCCTCAATTTGACTTGCAAATTGTAGTGCAAAGATACGGGCAGAGCGCCCCTGATAAAACCCTGCCCAAACATCGACCTGCCCCAAAGGATTCCTTGCTTCAGAGCCCTCGGTACCTGCTGTTTGATGGGATCCTTCAACGCAACGGGCACACACACACACAAAAGATCGAGAAGCTGGAGGCAGTAAATCGTCCAGAGTGCCAGCCATGATGGACACTGCATTTGCATTGCAGTTTAACAGGCAATCCTTTTTTCTTGCAAGCCTTCATCCATCTTGCGGATTGCAGCACTTTATTTATTCGACCTCGCAACTTTGGATTTGGGGGCTATTCTGTTGCTTGGCCCATTGTACTCATGTTGCGTTCTGTCATAGCGACTTGGAAATGGGATGTTTTGTTACGGCTCGAGGGTCAATCCTGGGTTTGGGGCAGGTTCCTGGAGGGTTGCAGGCAGGTTTTTTTGGCTGGATACTCCTTGGGCTCATTTCTCGGTTGAGCCGAGAGCCGTAGATCGTCCTCCAAACAAAGCTGCAAGTTGGTTGGCCCCCGACAAACACAGTGGAAACACATGCCCCAAAGTACCCTCACACCCACAAATCATCCTCATCTTGGGGTAACGCCAAAATGGTTGGCGTTCCTTCTCTTTTCCCCTGGCCAACCTAAACCACACACCAAATCATCCCCCCCCCATCGGATGAAGACCTCCATTTGTGAGGCCTTCGAAATCCCCGGGCTCCAAGCGCGGCCCTACCACGATGATGAGCTCCAGGTGGGAGTCGGAGTTTGTGGATGATATGGGTGCCATATCCATGCAAATATGATGTTGCACCTCCAAGTTTACAAGAAACCTTCCAAAACGAGTAAGCTATGCAATCCAAGTAGGTAACTTGGAATGATAGTTGGACACTTAAGAATCCCCATGCTCATCATCTACTCAAGCAGGTTGGGCATCCAATGTGTTTTGGGTCCCATTTCGTAGGTTGCCTTCGAGATCATCGACCTGGACCGGCACGGGGAGATCGGCGCCACAGATATCCGACGCGCCCTGCAGCTTCTTGGCGTCGGACGTGTGGGAGACCTTTGGGTGCATGCGGGGTTCTCATGGTAAACTCTTTTGCTCGAGGGGAACTAATTTGAGACGCCCCCATACTGACACCCCATGCTTTTACTAGTCTAGTGTGAACAATCAAGGAAGTGACAACTGGAAAAGATAAATACGGGAGACTCCTTACAAAATAAGTAAATCTATCTAGCTATCTATCTATATATCTGTCTGTCTTATCTCTACCTATCTATCTATCTGTCTATCTGTCTATCTGTCTATCTACCTATCTACCTATCTACCTATCTA